GGCAGTGGGATCAGCTCTCCCTCTGCAGTAACCACTTTCCACCTCTGCTGCATCCTCTTTTTATATTCCACTTCCCCCATACAGAGACAGAGAGCTAGGGGGTGAGAGAAGAAGCTGCTACCGCTTTTGATAACTGAGCTTTTGAGCTGTTCTCTCCATGCTTCGTATTTTGGCAGTGTAAGCAGAGCAGCCAGAGCAAAGCATGTGTGTAGCTTGTCTCTCTGTTTCTCTACATGCTTTGTAAACATGCTAATTTGACATTAAACCAAGTCAGCTTTCCCGTATGTATTCTTGTATAAATAACAGGCAGATTTCTTTTGATTTTGCTCAGGGCAAGTACGTGTCTGCCCCTCTTTGTAAAGACAGTTCCCCTTGGAAAAAATTAAGTCCCTTTTGGTGTATGGCAGCCAAGGTTTCATTGTCCTTCTGCCTCCATAAATGATTTGCCTGAACTATTGCCGTTTGCTGCTCTGGTGTTTAGCAGGTACCTGCAGCCTCTCAGGATAGCTGCCAGGGACATCTCGGGAGGTTCACACATAGGGCTCCTACTAGACTTGCCAGTTCCTCAGAGGATGCTGCCTTTGCACAGCTCCTCTCCTTGTGTTTGGGTGGAAGTATGGAGAGCAAACCCATGATTTGTAGGAATGAGTTACTCTAAAGTGGAAAATATCCTGAATGTGAGGGGGGTAAAAAACCTGCAAAACCATTTTGCTCAGAGAAGCGGAAATGCACATCCTTGAGTAGCACTGGTCTATCTTTTGTTTGTGTGTGTTTTGGGCATGTCAAGTTGTAGTGTTGGAGAATGACATTTGAGTGAAATATTGCTTAGAGCAGCACACAAAGATGTCAGGTTTAGAATGATCTCTTTGAAGATCAGTTTTGGTCTTCAAACCCGTTTCAACGTTTTAAGATCTGCAGGCTGCTTTTGGCAGCAAGGTGGCTGCTTTCCTCACTGCAGATTTCTGAACACTTGAAACTACTTGATATGATAAACTGCTAGAGTGATACTTATTAGTCTTTCTTTGTGAGTAAAACTTTGGAGGAAATGGTGGCTGATCATTCTCACAGGGAAAAACTGTCTGGTTAATGTTTGTGACTATTTAATCATAATGGAACAATGTTGGACCTCTACATGGTGCATGCCCACCTATGCTCACCATAGCACATTGCTAGAAGGTAGGACAATATTGGTGCTTCAAGCTAGGTTTTTCCAGCTTGTAAATCATATAATACCATAAAATCAGTTTTATGAAGGCTGTAAGATGTTCTGTAACAGATTTTCTACTTGTTATTAGATCCTTTTAATTTACTTTTTTTTTTTTTGCTAAAAACATTTAGATATGTTATTTCAAAGGGATTTCTGGGACAATATTACTTTTTAAAATGTTTGGCATTATTCTGATGGTACTTTTATATATACTTAGTGGAGTGGCACTGAGCTGAAGTGAAGATAGCACAACCTACCAGGCAAAGGGACACAAAAAGAGGGGAACAAACTATGGGGTTGTTTTGTTTTTAATTGGATTGTATTTCTTTTCTTTTTGTCCAAACTTCTTCCTTACAGTCTTAAAGTTGCTGAGTGAGTGTACAAAATAGAGCTTGGGGATCATATTGCTTGTTGCACAAATGCTACTTGTATGGTGTTGGTTGACTAGTCTTCTATTGATAAGAATGCCCTTGAGAGCAGCCAACCCTCTTCTGTATTGGAAGGACCTGCAGGGTTTGGCCCAGCTGAAACAGCCCTGTCCAGAAAATATAAAGTTAAATGCAGCTGCTCTTTAAGGACCGTGTATACTTGCTTCTGGTTTTGTTCAATTTGCCAAAGAAAGCGGAACTGAAAATGTAACTTTGAAAGGCATTAATATGGGTGGTTTTGGGTAGTACTTGGTGGGTTTTTATATTCTAAATCTGTTGTTTTTTCTTTCACTAGGACAATGCTGCTTTGACTTTACAGTGCAACTGAACTCCTGGGAGGAGACCTGGCTATGTGAGGGGTTCACATTCAGGTTCTTACCATTTGTCTGTGTATTAATAACAACATCAAGAGGAAAGAAACCTTTTCTGTTGAGCAGTCTGAAAATAGAAACAGTGAACTTATGTATTGACACAGGAAGGCTTTTGTTATTGTTTTTAAAATGTCAGATACTCTTCAGCTTTATTATTGACAGAATTGTGCACCTTCTCAAGCTGTGCAAGGCTTTTCATTGATTTTGTGTCCTGGTATAAAAATAACACCAACTGGATATTCTCCAGAGTTATGAGTAAATTTCACAGAAGAGCCTGCATGTAAAATTCTGATTTAAAAAGACCTGTGATCTTAGCTGCAGGTCAAAGAAAGAACTTAAGTGTATTATTTAAATGTAAGTACATCTTGAAAAGCAGTTATTTGAAAGTGACACCTTCTTGCTCAAAAGGTCTCTTTTTGTGCTAAAAGATTTGACTGTTCTAATAACCTTGTAAAACCAACATGGATGGGTTCTCCTCCTCTCCCCACCCTCTTTCCCCCAGATTTCAAGAATGCTCAGGCAGTTCTCATTTGCATAGGTAACAGGCAATATTTAGACAAATTGAGTTATATATAAAATCACGTTTAGCCAACAAAGTGCCACTAGTGGCAATAAATGGGAAGAAAGTAGTCCAATCTTAACTTTTGGATTCTGTGCTGAGTTTGCTGCTGTGTATGACATGAGCAGACTAAGTCTGTAGAGCAGTTGTTAGTAGTGGGCCCCATGACTCCCCATTCTTACAGATGATTTTCAGAAACTGACTTCAGTTTCCTTTATTGAGAAAATCAGTTCAATTTCTACATGTAAGTGGAAGTCTCTCACTACCTGAGTGTGCTGGGCCTCTACTACTGACCAAGCATTGGCATGAGTGAATGTTGTCTCCCTAGCCTTGGCAGATCAAACTTTTCCCACACCCATGCATAGGAAAGTCCCTACACACTTTTCCTCTCTCCCTATCGCATATGTGCACTTATTCCTTTGAAGATCAGAATATGACCTTTTCCAGACTTCTGGGTGTGACCATCTTTCCTGTTCTTACTTTTTCTGGTTATTATTGCTTAATCAGTTATTCTTGCTTGCCAGAGTTACAAACCTGATGTAGTTCCTGTGAAGGAAAACCTCCAACTGAGTCTTGGAGCTGTTTTAAGGAGAAAATGGTACAAATTTGTGATAAAATATGTAGATAAGAATTATATACTGCTGTCTGGGGACAGCATGTATTTTCAAATCATACACTTCATATATATACAGCTTATGTTCTTTTTTACACAGATGTTTCATATTCAAAGTAATGTGAAAGGTACAAGGAAGAAAGATTAACTCATTGAAAAGGCTGCGAGTTTCTGAATGATTGAAGTACTAGCAAATAATGTTTTGAAAACTTAGTCTTGTAAAACTCTTCCTCTTGCTCTTCTGGAGATAATGGCAAAGGTGGGGATAAAAACCTTGCTTTGCTTCTGAGTATCTTGCATGCCTCAGCTGCCGTCATAGCGTTAACACTAGAAAGTTATAAACCACACATTTACCCCAGTATTAGATATGTGCAGCTGCCCACTTGCACAATCAATCATTTCTGTGGAAATCAATTTGTACTCTCAAATGTGAGAGTATGAATTATACTCTCAGAGCTGACCCCTTTCTTTTTAATTTGCTCCACAGAAGGTACTTTCTTTTCATATACTGAATGAAGAGAACATCTGCCCCAGAATGAAGACTTGATTACAAGTGATCTTAGACCATTTTTACAGCCATTTTTAAAAGGTACAGAAATGGATTTCTTGATGGGAAATGTTTCTGGCTGAGAGCATGAACAATGCAAGATAATGGTACAAGAAATTGTAGGCATAATTGAAAAAGGAAACCTTGAGTTTAGACTCAGAGCCAAACTCACAAATGGTATGAGTGTTGACATACCAGAAGTGCTGACTGAGAAGGATTGAAGCATGTCTAGAGATGTTTTGTGAGGTGTACAGTGCAGGCTAGATGCACTTCTCTAAGGAATGAGTTGGATAGAGCTAGTTCAGAATTCCAGCTGAGAGTAAGGAGCATATCAGACAGGAGCTTCCTGTTTTTCTGTGATGCAGGGCTTGCTTCCCTAATTCCCCTCCTCCAAGAAAGAACTAAAAGACAGGCAGAACGATTTTGTACATCTGTCATATTGTATCTTTGCTAGAAATAGAATAATGTAGAAATACAGTTAATCACATACACTCTTTCACTAAATGCCATATTTGAAGGGGTTCTTCCGGTTTTCATACGCAAAAACAGATTTAAAATTGCAGCAGAAAACCACGCTGACTCCTCAGCAAAGATATTCAGAAATGTCTGTTGCTCAAGTAATTGCTGGTACCAAGACATTCTCTTGAGGTTGTATATTGGGCAGTCTGTCCTCCATGAAAGAGCAGAGGCTGCTGCCCTGTGTAGCAGCCCCAGCCAGTATATAATGCTTACAGGAGGGAGGATTCACTGTTATCTCAGGCTGGCCAAGCTGTTCAGAGCAAATGAGCTCCAACAGTGACCTTCTGGAAGATTTACAGAAGGAAAGAGCAGAGTCAGACTTTTGTCTGGGTACTGCCATTCAATTCTCAGACACCTTCTAAGTTAGAAAGAAGGATTTCAATACTTATTTCTCTATCTGGCTCTTAGCAACAACTTTCTGATCACACTGCCAAAAAGAAAACTGGTGCAGCAATGACAAAGGCTGATTTTCAGTGGCACTGCAGTGATCTGGGCTGTTTTCCTCTGTCGAGCCTTTCACATTTAGTAGATACCATCAAGGTTAATGCTTCTTTTGGTGTCACTCTGTCACTTTGCTAATGCTGTATCTTTTTTCCAACATTTTTCCCTTTTTAACTTTAAAAAGAAGAAAAATACGGAACAGGTTCACATTCATCAGAAAATCATTGTCTTTCTCCTGCATCCTCCCTGCCATGGCCAAGGTGATCCTACTGCTGTTGCTGTTGTCATCCTGTGAGGGAAGTCGGAGCCAAGGAAGAGGTGCTGTCCTACTGCTGGCAGTCTCATCATGTGGCACAAGGCTTAAAAACAGGACACAGTTCAATCACCTTTTTCAGGTGTGTCTTCTCACGGAATTCCTTTGCAGCAAGGTAATAAAAGATGGCGTCCAGGCAGCAGTTGAGGTTGGCTATTATCATTGACACCTGAATGAAGAAGCTGATGGTTTGTTTCAGACTGCAGTCCACTATCACGTGCTGTCTTACCAGGTACTGCAGGCAAATTGCAAGGTGGACAGGTGTGAAGCACACCAAAAACACCACGAGGTTGATGATAATGACTCGTAAGGAGCCATTGCTTTCTACCTTTTTTTTAGCTTGACTTTTGTAATTCAGAAGAATCCAGATGTTTTGGGCAGAGCAGAAAACAATCACTACAAGTGGGATCAGAAATCCAAAGATTTCTACAGAAACAATGAGGGGGGTGCTCCATGCCTGTTCTGACATGTTGTGAAAGCACTTAAAATTATCTTCCTCATGAAACACATACATTGGGGTGCTGCAAAGCCAGGCTACTGCCCAGATAAAGCAGCAAATCAAGATAGCCCATTTCGGGGATTGGTTAGCTCGACCTTCAAATGGGTGCCTTATGCAGATATATCTGTCGACGGTAATGCAGACGATTATGAAGATACTGCCATACATGTTGACAAAATAGAGAGACTCTATGAATGAGCACAGGAGTCTGGGTGCTTTCTGGATAGAGTAGTACAGCTTGAGTGGGAGCGAGAGAAGCAGCAATACATCTGCAAGTGCGAGATTGATCATGTACACTGAAGTTTTGGTTTGTTTCTTCCAAAAGCAGCAGAACACAGAGAGAGCCATGGCATTGAGAACCAGCCCAAGAATGAAGGTGGGGATGGAGATCCCCAGCAGCAGGGTCTTTGCTAATCTGTCAATGTCTGCGAAGTTGCATTCCTCGCTGCTGTTGGACATTTCTCCCCTAAAACGACAGAGAAAACAGGTTGGAAATGTGTAAGGCTTTCAGTGAAAGCCTTGATATATCAGTGCGAGATACTTTCAAACACAGCTCTGGGATTTTTGGTTTTGAGCTAGATGCTTGATCAGTCTTTGGTGATTACTGAAAGCAAATCCTTATTTCAAGCACAGAGCTTTTCTGATTTGAGTGCTTGATCTGTTATAAAGCAGCCTGATTCTCGACAGCAAGGAGTCAGCATCCACTGACTATCACACCCTTTAAAATAATCCCATTCAGATATTGAAGAGACTGACTTATTCAAACATATGTTTTCAAAACTCTGAGGTGTACTTGCTATCTCTAGTAACTTGTACATCTGTTGAAACATCCATAACAGTTCTGTTCCTTTTCCTCATGAAATTATCGTTCCATATTAAGGTGGTTCAAACTAATAGCTAGGTTTTTATTCTTATATCCATGATTCCCTATGCATCAGTCGTTCTTGCTGGTTTTATATGGGTATACATATACACCTGCATTTATATGGGTATTATAATTTCATATAGTGATTCTATCTGATGCAGTTTTTTAGAAGGTAAGCTTAAGAAGACTGATATTTTATGTAGATATAAACTGAGTAATCATGTTTTCTAGCTTGTGCTTAACTTCCAGCATTAGATAAGTTTTGGATTTGCAAGTACTTTAACTGGTTCTCTTAGATAATCTGGCAAAGATTAGCAAATAGTGGTTAGAACTAGATGATAATTATGGTTCTTTCCAACCCTAAATGTTCTATGATCTTCATAATACTGTTCTTTAAAAAAGTATGACTTGTAGGGAATAAGTGTTACCACCAGTCTTAAAAACATATGTATGCTCTAACAAACTATGCGTTAAAAGTGCTTTTTGATAATGTCTTTAAATCAGAATCACAAAAAATCCTAATGAAGGAGAAGATATTGGTAGATAAAATTCCCAGTCCAACTCAGCCAACCAAATAATTCAGAAGATATTTTAGGAATAAGTTAAGATGTTTTAAGAACAATCAGATCAAGAGGAGAATCTCTGCTTTGGAGGACAGAAAGTGACAGGTCACTCATAAGCACTACCACATGGAGCTGAACTTTGCTGAAGAAAGGATTTGTTTACATGGCTAAAATAAAATATAAAATAAAAAGAGAGAAACATGGAGAACAGGTAGGTCTGCTGAATATTAACTGAGAAAATGGGCTTGGGTTTTGCCAAATCTTATATCTCTGCTTTTCAGAGGGTTGCTGATATTGTGCTGGAGGTCAGAGGTGGGTTGACTTAGAGGAATTTTGAATGATAATGAAAATAACTGTATCTGAACTCAGAAGAAACTCAGAGCTTAACATGTTCATATGAGTGAAAACAGTTTATTTCTAGCTCAGACTACGAAAAGAAGAGGCACATAAAGCTTGAAGGCCCAACTTATTAATTGTTATGAAGTGTATATGTTATTAGTGGATCTAGAAAAGGATTAATCTAGTTTATCTGTTGAAAGAAAGTATGGCACAGAATCACAGAATGGTTTGGGTTGAAAGGGCCTTAAAGCTCATCCAGTCCCAACCCCTGCCACAGCCAGGGACACCTTCCACCAGAGCAGGTTTCTCCAAGCTCCATCCAAGCTGGCCTTGAATGCTGCCAGGGACGGGGCAGCCAGAACTTCTCTGAGCACCCTGTGCCAGCACCTCAGCACCCTCACTGTAAAGAATTAATCAAATGTGATTAAAGCAATTCTATAACTGTTGAGTAAAATCTTCTTAGAGATTTTAAAGAAAAACTGTTCAATAATGGTTTGACACCCCCTGTCAGACCATTACCTTCTTTGAAGTCTCTGCTTTTTCAGATAAGGGCAAGGCTGAAGACTGAAGGCACTTGCATTTCAGTGAAGCATACTAGTTTCTCTAGTGTGCTAGTGAAGCACCAGAAAAACTGGAGGTCACAACAGGGGCTGTTAAGTAGGTGAGCAAATGGTTGCAAGAAAGCTAATGAGGACCACAAACAGGCTGGATGCCGGCTACTAGGGGGATGCACAAATTCACTGAGACATCTCCTTGGTAGTGTTTCCCTCAGTGACCGCAATCTAAGATTGAGTCAATCCCTTTGAGCCAGCAGCATGTGGCAGCTGCTTAGAAAACCATGTGATTGTGGTACATGAGAGGTGAGATAATTCCACTAAATGTGGAGATGCACTGGGGTCATGTGTTCAAGGGGTTATTGTAGGCAGATGCTGCTGTCACCTGAGGGGAGGACAGGTAACAGGAAATAGAGGAAGTAGGAGTTCTGTCCTGTTGTGTGAGCATGTATCTTCTGTGACCAAGAACATCCTTTCAGCTGGGGAAAAAAATCAGGTGACATGAAATATTTTAGAGGTGTGATGCCTGTTAAATCTCTCACTTTGTATTTTAAATGTATCAGGAAATTGCTTGTGATGTCTCATAAAGGTCCAAGTTTAGATTCTACTTTTATCAGGTTTCTGTCTTCACTGAATGCTTTTTCTTTAGAATTCATTAGTACCAAATAACGTACGGTATTACCCCTGCAAATTGTTAATGTTAAGAAAACTTCAGCCAGTCTCTGATAATTTCCAGTATTCTAACAGAGTGCCTCATTCTCAAAAACTTGACATTTTTGATCATTTTACCTTCTTCGAATTTAAATTCCTCATCTTGAGATATCCAAGGGAAGTGTTTGCAAACAGTCCGCACTCAGTAATATGTTTGCTCAAAATTATTCAAGATGCATTTTCATTGACAATCAACCTTGCAGTCATTCCCTAAACACCATCTTTACTGCATTGTCCAAATTACTAATACTGATGGTATCCAACCTGCAAGATACTGAATTGTACCAAACACATCTTTCCTGTATGGTAGACACTGATTATATCTCAGTTGATAGCCATTAATCATATAGAAGTTTCATATATATCATATTTCCTTTGTCTGCTTATGAGAATTTCTTTAGAGATAGTGTTTGAAACCTGCTTTCCCCCTCCTCCACTCTGTCCCTGACTGCTGTCTACTTTTCACAGAAGAAAGTCAAATTACTTCTATTTTTGTCATTCTTAAATGAATCTGTGCACATTGTTACTTACCGCTGCATTGTCTTCTGGGTGCTTGCAAACAGATTCTTCAGTGGGTGATTCCAATAGTTACCCAAATGCTGAAGCCAGGTTTAGTGGTCTCCTCCTTTTCCACTTTCTTAAGAGACAGGCACCAGGTTTTCTCTTTTCTAGTCTTCTGAAGAAAATTCCTCCATCTTGTAGGGGTTTCTTGAAGGAATTGCCTGCAGCTCTAGGATTGTTTCAGACAACTAGGAGCCAAATGTAAGAGCCTGTAATTAATTCAAAGAGTTTTTCTTCTCTGGTCCAGACCCTGTGTCATCACTGGTCCATTTGTTCTTGATTTTTCCTATTGAGTGAGGATTTTCCACTTCCTATGGACTAGTCAAAAGCTAACTGGGTTTACCAATAGCAGGAGTTAGTGGTTAAGCTAGCAGCAAATGTGTACTGACATAGGAAATGGAACAGCAAGGTTTTACAGAATTTGCTTTGCTAGGGTTTTTTGCAGCACAGCATGCTGTGAATGGTTTCCTCCTCGTAGCTCAGATATGAGTTCATCTGGCACTAGGTGGGATTAGCACAAGTCTGCATTTTAGCACAGACCAGGGACGACAGATTAAGGATATTCTTACCCATGAATACTTCATTAGCAGGAACATTCTCTGCATAGAATGTATAACTTACTGTAAGTGTAGTTGTAGCTTTAATAGTAAGGAAAAGATAATCAGATGACAGAACGCAGCAAACCAATGATTTTTAATCTAGCTATGCTGCAAAAGAGGAATGAGGAATATTCAAATTACTGCTTCAGCAAGGAATTTTACAGCATTTACCATAATCACCCTCCTAATCAACACAAAACAAATACTGTTACTGCTGCAAAGCAGACTTTGTTGATACTAATTTGCTAGAAGATTATTCATATTATAGATAAATTATTCACTTGTGAACACACAGGAGAAGAGTAAAATGGCTTAGTGCAATGCAGAGCAGTAAGTCCTGCCGTATCTGACATATATTTCATCTGTGGGTGGATAATTTCTTATCATTTTATTTGAAGTATTTTGATTACAACGAAATATATCTATGCTTATCACTAGAGCAGACCTCTTTTTATTCCTACTCTGTGCTAAGCAACACTACATGTTTGATCTTCATCAAAATAGCTTAAAAATACTGCTTTGCAATCAATGCTGGTAGTAAATTTTTTGGGGAAAAAAGTTATTAGTTAAAATAGGAATTACTTTACCTGAACCCAGCAAGCAGATCAGCAGCATTGCTTCAGTCCAAGTTGTTCTGTAGAGCATGACAGGATTTGCTTATAGACCATACCCTACCAGTGCTCTTAGTAAATGGCATAACCACATCCTCATCTTTTTTGTTGTTTTTTTTTTTTGTTGTTTTTCCTTCCTATTTCAAAACACATTTTGTGTTTCTTTATATAGACAACTGAAGGTGAAAGAGTGCAAAGACCTGAATCCCCAGCTGTTTCCAGTCAGTAGTCAGTATAGGGCAAGGAGTGATTTGTCTCTGAACCCAGTTGGCTTTGGACTGGACATTACCTTGTGTGAAGGAGCTGAGAGTTTCTATGGTGATGTGGTGGCTACCTCCAAATGTCCAGTTATTCCTTGAGTTGGAGGATAGATGAGGATGTGGCAAGTTGTAGGAGAGGCTGTCATAGAAATAGGTTTTCCCCCCCACTTTCTGCTCAGTTTGCATTATGGAGATCAGTAGTTTAGCACTCAGATGCTTTTGAAAGATACAGCTACTTATACGCACGCAGCTGTTAAACTATTTAAAGGGCACGTGCCAGTTTTAGCCAGTTGAGGTGTTTGATTCATAACTGCAAGTCAGCAAACAAATGTTTATTGGTGAGAGGAGTGAGGTATACAGAGCACTAAACTAGTGCCTTGTATGCAAGTCATGCAGTAGCCAAGACACATTTTCAAGGTTTTTCCATCAATAGCACTTTCCTGATTGGAGTCTGCAGGTCTTCCTCTGCCCTGGGAGGTGTGATGCAATGTACACCTTTTGCAAAGGTAATGGTGCTTGCAAAGAGTGAGCAGCAGGAATATGAGGGCATTCATCCACTGTTGTCTTCAGGAGAGAGCAGGCAAGGGTGGGAGACAACAAAGCACCCAAAGCTGCTGGTCTCCGGTCCTGTCCAGCTGTGGCTTGGCTGGGACTGGCATTAAATGATGATCCTGGTTACATAAAGTGACATCTTTTACTGGGAAAAAAGTTAATTGCTGTTTGATGACAATGTGACATTCTCATACATAAGAATTTAATCTCCAAGCAACACAACTGGCAGGAGAATTGAACCCCAAGTAGCTCATCTGTCTGTATCATATGGGCACTTCATAAGGATGAGTACAGATAGTCTCTCTGGAACCTTTCATGTTGAAGTGTGAAACTTGCTTGTTTAGTGCTGAGACCAGCTCTTCTAACCTGTGGACTGCTCTTTTACCTTACCCACTGCAACCCTTTGCTGTGGTTGTAACTACAGGGTGAGGGAAGCTCTAAGTGACATTTTAGAAGTTACCACCTGGCTTTGGAGGCAGTTTGGTCCTTCTGGGGAAATCAGCAGAATCATGGACCAGTTTGGGTTGGAAAGGACCTTAAGATCCTCTAGTTCCAGCCCCCTGCCATGAGAAGGGGCAGGCTGCACTCCTTGCAGAAAAGGTAGCACCAGCATTTGTATTCCAGGGCTTGGAGAAAAAAATGCACACTAATCTCTTAACACATTTTATATTTCCTGTTTTAGGTAAACTTTGGAAGCAGTTCATGTAGGAGAAGAAACGAAGGCAGTCTGATTCATATCATTTGGGAAATGTGTTATGGAACTGGGAGGTTTCAAGAGCTTTTCACCCAGCACTGCTGCACTCTAAACACTGAATTCCAGAGACCCAGGCACCTGCGTGGCTCTGAGGTTTTCAGCGAGGAGGAGAGCTTTGTTTGGTTTAGTTTAATTCTTTTCTTATTTAATCAACACTAAAATGTGCCGGGGTTTTTGTTTGTTTGCTTGTTGGGGGGGGGGGGCAGGGAGGGTGTGTTTTAGAGCTTGGTGAGCTTTCTCCATCTTTTATCCTCTAGGTTCAATAATTGCTGCTCATGCTAGGTCAGGCAATAGCAGCCAGCACTTGTCATTCTCAAGGAATCAAAATCTCTTTCAGAGGAAACATTCATACAGTGCAAAACCACATGCATTTGCATTACAGAATCATGAATTCTGCTGTTCCCTTTTTAGTGGAAAATATATCAAAGCAGCCTTGCAGTTCAGTTTTCACAAATGTCTAGAATATGTGTTTGCCAAAATGCAATACTTAATCGCCAGAATGGAATAAGTTGCATCTTCGATCTAGAATTAAAATACTCAAATGCAAACTAATCTAATTTCAAAGGTGGGCTCCACTGTTTCTGTGCCATTCTGAAGGCATGTCTGACTTGTTCTTGCAGACAGCTATAAAACATCATCTCTGATAGCAGAACTTTATCAACCAGAGCAAAAAGAGTCAGAAAAAAGACATTGCCCAGTAGAGAGCTAGGAGGTGAGTGAAAAACTGAATGTCTTTGTACCTGCGAAAAGGGCTTGATGCAGTGGGGAAATAGAAGTCTTATCAGCCCAGGCCTAAGCCCAAGTTGTCTTCTGTGTTGTGCTGTGAATGGTTACTGATACTTCTGTGTGTGTTTAAAGGTTTCAAAACCTGGAATGCCAAAGTGAGTTAAGCTAACAAGTTGTCTTGTTCTGAGCAGTCTGTAACAGCTTGTAACTCCAAAAAGGGCTTCTTAAAACGACACTAATTTCTCCTTCGTCTAAGTCCAGCTAAGCAGCAGGGCGCTTCTGGAAAGGAGAACTACACAAAGAGCTTGTGATGCCATCACCTAACTGAAATCGTACCTTGATGCTCTTTCTGTCTAAAGAACAGGTAAATTAAAGAACAAGTTCAATTTTCATTGATGACTTGGAAATTGTTGCTTGTGTTTGGGTTGGAATATAAACAGTGTTTTCTGGAGGCCTTGTTCTTCACACTACCACTTTATGGGTTGCTCAATATTCTTTTCCTCATCCTCGTAAGCAACCAAAGCCTGGCCTATTGTGCAGTTGGGAACTTTGTATCGTGAAGGGGTTGTGTTTTTCTTACATAGCCACTTGTTTGCAGCAAGTTCAGGACACTGCAAAACTGGAAATCAGGAAACTTGGCAACTGCTGTATTTTATGAGGAACAGCCACATTCAGCACCTCCGTGATGAGGCATACACCATTAAAGGCAGCTCAGGACAGAGGAAAACAGTGTATTTGCTCTTGGAGCTTCCCAGCTATGAATGTAGATTTGTTTTTGACTGCATTTGAGAAACCTTACAAAGGTTTCTCAGAGTTGAATGTTGAGAGAAAAGGAACTGGTGAGCACCCAGTCTCACACTAGTATGGTTGAGTGAGCAGAACTGTGGGAGCAATATTTTCAAGTACAGAGTATCTTCAGCTATACCTGATTCAGAAATTCACCAGCAGGACACCAGGCATGCAGGGTGGCATCTCCTTCATAGCTTCAGATACCCACAGTCTGCAGCTGAGTTGAAATGATCTAATTCACCACAGTTCAACTGGGTCTTTTAAAGCCAAAAATACCGGTTAGATATGACCAGTGTCAGTTAGGTGCCAGTGAGGGCATGTGTTTCATGGCCAGTCCATCCCTCCTCCAAGGCAGGGACAGGGCAGCTTGCATCTGGCCAAATGCGATTCTGGTCATGGCCGTACCAATGGACTATAACTTTTCTTGGGTATTTGTAGGAAGGAGCAGCCAGCCAAGCTGTGAGCCCAGCTCTAGTGAGACTGTGTAAGAATAGACGCAGAGCTTCCTGCACGAATGTACTTTGCAGCCCTTTCCACAGGATTCACCATCACACCCCACCTGTGCCAGGCTTTGTGGTTGCTCAGCCACAGGCATTGCCATCCACCAGGATGCATGTGATTCTTATAGGTGTTTCTATGGGATGTCTACAGACTGTATCTTTTGAGGAGCCAGATGGAAAGGGAGAAATGCAAGGCTGCTGTATTGATTTCCTAGAACAGAGAAAAGCTTTTGTTTAATTAAGAGTCCATGCTCACTGAGCATGGCACTACCAAAGGAAATGGTAGGTGTGCACAAAACTAAAGTTTTGAACAAAACTATCAGCTAATCTCGCAATCATCCAGTAAAAGGAACTAATGGTTAGCAGCAGTGTGGATACAAACCTGTGACCTGAGCAGTATGTGGTTAACGCGCAGTATTTATGCTGGCACGGGCAGTGATCAGATCAGAGTCACATTATGCTCACCTATCCACACCATATAACATAATACTCTGATAAACGGTGTATCTGGATTTATTTTTTTCCACTGAAAAACATTTTCTTCTCAGCCTTTGCATTGCACTTGGTGATGAAACACACAGTGAAAATTACTTTCTGTGCAATTTTATGATACTGAGTATGAAGTGAGCACTGTTGACTGGACCTTCACCATCTTCCATCTGGACTGATGGACATCAAAACCCATCACTACATTCTTGTGCAGAGGGACACCAGTGCACTGTGTACTTGTGCCTTGCACAGTCATTCCTATACCTTCACACAGATGGCCCTGTACAAAGAAGTAGGAGCCCCATCTGTGGGGTTTAGGTGCTCTCAATGCCACAACTTTCTGATAGACCCATCTCTGTTGAATGGCTTGGACTGATGAAAAGCTGACTTGTGTGGAAACTGCATTTTTTTTTTTTCCATTTCTTTTTATTTTTCCTCATCCATCTCTCCTCAATGTAGAAACTGGCATTTCTGGAAAGGAAGCCCTACACACTCAGGACTATAACTGTGATGGGTCAGAGTTGAATAAGGATCACAGACTGGCCTATAAGTAACATTTTCCAGATCTCAGATGTGCCCTTTTCCATTAATGCATGTCATATTTGCACTCATGGGTCTTTCCCATTTTATCTTATGTTTTCCCAAGTTGTCACTACTTCTTTTGTTGTTTTCAGACTGGTGTATATCCAGTTGTGCATTGATAAGATTTGTCTCAAAGGGTTGGAGAGAAGTGGGGCCAGAGTTGGCTTCTCACAGTATGGCCAAATGAATGCTGCTGTTACAGGGACAAGGCTGTTTGAGAATCAGCTGGGCACTGTTTCTCATACTGGTATTGTCTCACCTGGACAGTGGCAGTCAGCATGCCCATGGCTCTGGTGTCTGCTTAGTTTGTTTTCTCTTGAGGTTTCTGCAGGCTATAGCACAGATTGCTCCATCACAGCCCAACTGTACTGGCAGAGTGCACTTGTCAGTGCAGACTCTCCAGCCTGTATCCCTTCATCTTGGCACTTAAATCTGAGGTATGAGAATTGATGTTAACCTTGCTGCTGCCTGTGTCCTAACAGATCGCAGGGCACCAATGTCCTAATTTGACTCATTGAGTGACTTAACACAGAGATGTGGCAAGTGCTGCTGAGAAGTAGAAGTGCTCAGGAAGAGTCAGTCAGACAGAGGAAGAAAAAAGGAAAAACAGCAAAAAAAAAAAAAAAAAAGGAAATTTCAGAAAATGTTTACACTGATCGCTGCATTTACTTCCGAGCCACAGTTCTGACTGATTGCCAGCGCTCGTACATTAAAAGCTACCCGACAGTGCCGCCTTGGGGTAGTTTATGAGTCGGGCAAGGGGTATCAAGGTGAAACTTGACTTTTCCCTTAAGTGGTGCTCACTCTCCTCATATATGTGTGTGTGTGTGTGTGTGTATAAAAGTGTGTGTATATTTGTGTGTTCATCAATATAATAATGACTTATTAACAGTCATTACACTGTACATATGGGTTACATGCACACTTACCTTATGAGCTTTATTTTGTTGTCATCTCTCCTAATCAGCCCTGGTCAGCCGCCTTTTATTTCAGTAAGATAGTCTCTGAGAGAGAGAGCACTGGTTTACGCTGCTGAAAAAAATGTCTCTGTGAAAACATGCCTTTGTCTATTTTGGAAAGAGCAACTGAGTAAATCTGCTTGTTTATTCCAGCATAGAACGGGTCTCTGCCTTGAAGAGAATTGGTCATCTTTGAACCTGGTGTCTGAAGAGGACAGTAATGGAGCTGTAAGTTCAATCAGCTATAGCTTGTTTTCTCTGTGCATGTAGGTTATCTGCCCTGGCCATCAGTATATGGTTAGTATTTAGAATGTAACTGGTGGATCTGGCAAGTTGAATATGAGCCATAAGTGTGCCCTGTCAGCTGGAAAGGGTGCTAGGCCATCTAGTCTAGACTGTGCTTTTGCCAAGCAAGTTTAGACCAGGTGATCCTTGAGGTCTGTTCCAACCTGGTATTCTATGATTGATCCTGGTCTCTGGGTCTTGGATGCTGTGGAAAGTGGGGATGCTGCAGCTGGCTCCCAAGAGGAAAAGGCATTCTGCATTGTTTCACAGAGAGTGGGAATTAATCCTCCTGTGTGTGCAGAGAGGTTGTGATGTCTGAGCCTAACAGTGACAAGATATTTGATTCCTGCTGATGTGTAATGTTAGTCTAGGTGAGTCGATATGATTGTCTTTGTTCTGGCTGCCTGCCATAGCCAAGTGTCTTTACACAAAAGTTAGAGTGAATGAATGGCATTGGAAAGAAAACTGACTTCATTTGAGTATAATCATGCCACTTACGGTGATAAACTCCTAGCTTTCCACTTCAAACCAAGTGCTGGGGGTTGATATGAAATGCTGAAAAGGTCCCTTCACTTCAGTACAGATGCATTCCTATAAACAGCCTCTATAGAAAAGCCTCAGAACATCAAGGGGATCATGAAAGCAACTTGCAGGAAAGTGAAGAACCTCAAACAGATTAAAACCTCTCAAATTAACTTTACCAGGTTACTGAAACACTCGCCTGAGATGACAACTTTTGAATTTCTGTGGATACCACCTCTGAAAAACCCCATTTCTTCCTGTGTTAGGTGGGAAGCATGATTGCTAAGACCAGTACAGGGATTGTACTGATATGGCTGAGAAACTTGTGGTGGTAGCTTATCATATAGGAATTGAATGGTATCATGGCTTTGAAGCCTTGTGCTGCTGGACTCCTCACTGATCCCGGGGATTACCTTACATGCTTTCACCAAGTGTGACCCATTTTGGTCTTTGCAAAAAGAGGCTGTAAATGTGATGCTATGCCTTAACAGTTTTTAAGCCAGAGTAAAATATCTCTTTGCCAATCATTTCACTGAGGCTAAACTTCCTATTGGAATTGTTCTGGAACATCCAGATAAACAATGGCAATAGGCCAGATGTGCAGATATTTCTCCAGTTGCAACTGAAATCTGCAGCATTCCTCTAGTGGCAAGTCTTTACCCCCCACCCTGAGGGTCATCTCCCAACTTGAAAAAGCAAAGCTTCCCTGAAGATGCTTTCAGGTACTGGGGGAGTTGGAGCTTGCCAGGATCTGGTCACAATTTAGGCCTTTGCCACTTTATGGTGGGGGTCTTTCCAATGTCAGACCCACTGTTCCTATGGGAAGAAGCTGCAGCCTGCAGTGCTGCCAGAGAAACCTAATTGAGGGAACTCCAGAGCTCTGCTCTGGGCCATGGTGGGAGACGGTTCAGAGCCTCTTCTGGTGCTGAGCAGCAGAGGGCAGTTTCGGCCTGGGGGATGTGTTAGTCATTAACTAAACATAAAGAGACAGTTTGGTCATCACTTTAGTTCTGACATAGGTACCCTGGCGCCACCTGATGGGTCGCAGGCTCTGACATTATGTTGCGTCTCTTTCATGCATGTTGTTCCTCATTGTTGAGCAAAAAGGTCTTAAACTGAGGTTAATTTAAAACCAGACCCTGTGGTCTCTCAGCTTTGGTATTCTGAAGCCTGCAGCAGTACTGCTTGTGTTTTCATCACTTGTGGCTTGTAGAGGTGCAGCGTTGTGTCTCTCTGATCTCAGGCAGAGGTGGGTAGAAGCACCTA